TTTCCCTTCTCAGCTGGAAAAATGTGATTGAAATCATGTTTACAGAGTCAAGGCTAAGGAAGTAAGAAATATGAGGCATAAGGAGAAAGAAGAGGATTCTTAAAGAACTGGTTTCTTACCTTCTCAGCTCACAAATTTAAATCAATTCTGGCCATGCCAGAACTTGCTTTGCATCCACCATTTGCGTGGAATTACGGAAAACTCTTGGGGGAAAACAAAAAACGGTAAAAATTTACCCTTCTGCATCAGGATCTAAAATGACAGCCAGTTCTGTTAACACAAGCCCGGCCAAGTAATGCTGCTGGCGGAAAGGCACAGACAATTCAAACATATTTGCAATCTTCTGGTCTTGGACATTTGTGGAGAACCCAGAACTCTGTGGAAAAAACGGAGTTTCAGAAGTTGCATAATGAGGCCCCTTGGAACACAGAGTCAAAGCTTATGAAATACATTAGAAGCTGTTTTCAGAATTAAAGACAATCTCACATAAACTACCTTTTCGCTTTTTTGTTTGGATCTAGGCACACCTACTCACTTTGCATCCAAGCTCACTAACGCTTCCCTTAATTCTGCTTGTTGTTATTTTCTTCTCACCCACAGGGCAGGCCTTAGGGAAGTTAAGCCAAATAACCTTTAAAAGTGGATTAGTTAAATTTTTAACTCAGGTATGGATGCTCTTATTCAGGCTGAAGAAGGCTTTAATTTGATTTAGTTTACGTAGTCTTGCAACTAATTAATCCACTTGAATGACACACTTGCTAATTCAAATTACTTTTTCTGAGCAGGCTAGGACTAAGCTACAGCACACTAGAAAGATCCTTGTTTTGTGTGAAAAGGGTAATGCTGGACAAAGTGTGTGTTTTAATGGCTCATTTATGTTCATGCGTTTGTCCAATATCGGAGGGGACTAGGTCCATAAGGACAGTGTACGGTCACTATGAGGACAGCGATATGGGCATTCTTTTTTCAATAATAAAAGATCAAAAGAAGTCAAAACCTATGTGGCAGGAAAAACTGATTTCTAAATAAACACTTCCAAAAAATATTAGCAAGCAGAGGCTGAAAATACAGGTGATACAAGTGCCTCATGTGATTTAAGTCTCAGAACAAAGCTCAGCTTGCGTTTCCGCAAAGGATCCTCGTCACAGTGTACCTGAGAAGTCGCTGAAGACACAGATGGTGATGGAGATGCAGGTGGTGTGAGCAAGCTGCAGGGTAAATTCAAGGTGACGTAGTGTTCATGGCTGCAAATGATGCGAAGGAAGTCTAGCCTCAAAGACACCAGGTTACTTGGATTTGTCAAGGAATACAGCTTTGAAGAGACCTGGCAAGTTTAGCCCATAAAATTGCAGTTAGCACCAAAAAAGAGCATAAATGTAGTATGACCCCCCGTCCCACCACTGCTCCCCAAAAACACTTCCAAAGCAAGAACTGAAGAGCTTAAATGGTCACCTCCACATCAATTCTTTGTGCTACAGATTAAATTTCTGATGTGCAGGAGCCATACAAGTGCCAGAGCCATACACGTCCCAGCCACCAACATATATATCAATACAAGATGTATAGAGCAGCCATATTTGTATAAGCAAATGAAGAACTATGTACTTCACATCCTATTGATTTCAGGAGGGAGTTGTGAGAAGCAGGACCACACAGTGTGATGCACTAACAGGTCAAAGATGCAGGTTGGCTATATACAGCAGGCAAGAAAGCTCAAACGCTATTGCTCTTCTTGCCCCTTATATAAAATGTTTTAGACTCTGCGGCAAAAACGAGTCTAAGCCTAAGCTCCTGATACCTCGTCATCTCCTCTGTACACAGTGTCAGCACGGATGTTTGTAGTCAAACGAAACTTCGTGGTTGGAGGCAATTTCCCTGCCACCACATTGCAACTAAGCTTCCCAACGCATAACACGGGAATCCTCCCGATGGGGGAGGCGACCTTGCATCCTCGGAAGGGTGGCACGGGAGCTCGGTGATCGATGTGATCACACAGGGTCAGTGTGTCCTTGAGACCCACTGACAAACCATGATAGTCTGAGCTCCCTCACAAAAACTCCTACTAACTTTTGCTTTAATTACTCTGAACATGATGAGGAGAGGGAATAATTCTTCCTTCCTGCTGCGTGTCCATTCACTCAAGGGAGTCACTTCTAATTCAGATTTAAGAGTGTAATCAGAGGCGTGTAAACTCTAAATCACCACTGAGAATGCCTTGCTATCTCTAAAAAGATCTGAATAGCAGGATTCTGTGTCCACACTTTACTGTCTGTCCAAAGAAAGTTAAGAGTAATAGGTTACGCTACAGCTCACAGTTAAGTCATAATATTTATCTGCATTCACCTGTTTGTAGCAGGTCTTGATAAGAGCAAAAACAAATCCTCTGTCCATGATAGACAACAGGTCATTAAGGAAAAACGCGAGACTGGTGTTGAGCCTTTCGACCATTTCTGTATCCTAGAGAGAAGGAAAAGCAAAATGGGAAAGAAAATGAAGAGCAGACTGTATGTTTTCAAACAATTCCTGCTCCAGGCACCAGCAAACAACATGCAGGAGGGCCCGGTGCCTGAGCTCTGACCGGGGTTCAGTTTAATTGTTTGCTATTACCTTCTGAAACCGAGAGACTATATCACTGGCAATTGTGCTGACCAAAGCAGTTACATCATCCATGAAACGCTCAGGAAAACGATTCTTTCTTGGCGCATCCAGTTTGTCAGCAAAATACAAATGATGCACCATGCTCTTCACCTATAGAAATATAAATTACAACCAAGTCACTTGCAGTTGTGGCTGTTTGTGTTTTAAACCGTGAAGTGTAAGACAATAAGCAAGGTATTGCCAGTTTGCTCACCATCAGCTCGAAGAAGAACCAGGCCTGCTGTAGGGCTGCCTCCCGCACGCTCCCGCTGCACACAACCCACTGCAGGGCCAGCTCTTCGTGGAAAAGCTACACAGATTCAAATCCAGAGTTAGCCCGAGCCTCAAGATCAGCTCACAAAACAGTCCGCATGAGAAATGGTAGCACGGTCCATGGAAAGTATGGCAAACAATGAGGTTAAGCAAAATAAGTGACTGGGAACATGACAGCAGTGGTGGCATCCCTTAAAGAAATCCCCAGCTAACCATGACGGATGATGTTATGATATGTGATGTGAGAAACGCTTCACAGCATCTTGCTCCAAAATTGAATTGCAAGTGTCAAAAGAATTTTCCGCCCACCCCCCAAAAAAAAAGTTTGGTGCTCAAATTAGTTTAGTTTAAAAGTCTACCTTTCTGCCTGGTCTGATTTTCGCAGGAAAAAGGAGTAAAAAGCGGACATATAAAGCGATTTGTACAAAGATGTATATTTACTGTGAGAAAGGACTTAAAACAGTAAGAAGGAAACGTGGGGCTAAGAAAACAGCTTTTTGATTTCTTTTCTCGGGAGGAACAACCCACAGACTGGATGTTGTCAGCGAGCACGTTTTCACTACACAAAAAGTCAGGCATTTTGTCCTTCGGACATCGTTCAGTAGGATCTCGTCTCCTCAAAGGGAGCGTACTTTCAAAGTAACTCCTGTTCACTTTCTGGAGTCACTTTGGATTAACACCTGTATAACCGAGTTCAGCACACGTCCGTAATGCCAGCCATCTAACACATTATAATTTTGCACACAGGAATGTATGATTTACATGTCTAGACACTGCTATTCATATTTTTTGAAAGCCAGTAATAAACTGGCTCCAAACACTACGGACATTAAATCAGACAAGCTGCTCCTGATCATTTTATTCTTCCCAATTGAAGTCTGTCAGAATACTTCATATTCACTACAGCCTGGATATTCAGAGGTGCTAAGCAACAGCAGTTCCTAATGACCTCGGAAAAAATCAGGCTATAAATAAAAGAATAGATTGCATCATGTTTTCAGAATGACTTGACCTCCCTGCCCCGCAATATCAATTGTCTTCACTGAAATCTACCTTTTTAGTTGGTAATCGTCCTGTTAATGTTTGTAAGAAACTTGACGTCTCAGTGTGCGAAGACATACGATTACAACTTCGATCCGTAGCCTACGGAGTGGAGATGAATGAATGATGACAGGACATTAAAGTTTGCTGTGGATGGGTTTTGCAGCTCAAGGACAATGTACGTTTACAAAAATACTGTTCCAACTGTAGGCTTTTACTGTCTTTATACCTTTTTATGCATTCTCAAACTCTTACTCATTTACAGATTTGGTTTAAACAAAATGACAGTACTTTTTATTGTTTTAAGACATAGAGACTATTTAAATAACTGCATGTTCTTATGCACAAAGACACTTAATGCTGCAAAGCATGAAACCTTTTCATCATTGTATTTTATCAACATGCATACATCAAGGAAGTAAGACTTGTCATTTCAGTCCATACCTCTCAATCTACCAGAGACCGAGCGCGCGGGGGGGTACCCCACAGCGACGCTGCTGCTGGCACAGGGAATGAGAAAACTACTGCAGTTCTCTTTCTGATGGAAATAATTTGCCAGGAGTGCAAGCGAACTCAGACTAAATATTTCTGGAAGACCGATAAACTTGAGAGGAGGTACAGTTGAGAGGTACGTTCAAGGCAACCATGCAGTGGAAAGCAGCAGGCAATAGGGGCTGAATAAGTTAAGTCTTTCTGACTGAAGCTGCTATTAAGTTTTCATACTTTGCAACACAGAAGAGATACAATTGGCCCTAGCGAGTCACTGGCTCCAGCACTCAAATTTACATGTTTTAAGAGAGAATTTTACAGGTGTACCAATTTTGGTTTAACAATATTCCACTCAACAGTCATGAAGGATTACTTGACGATGAATACTTAATGCTTGATGAAAATGGCAAAATGGTTCACAACGTCAAAAGAAATGGCAAACATGGACAAAACTATGAAGCTGTGATTAATGTTCCCACTTAGAAATGTGCTCCACTTGAAGCTGAAACTAGTGTTAGAGAGAGAGAGAAAAAAGAAAAGAAAAGCAGTCACAGCATTTACATTTCACGGACCAGCAACCACTGAAATGAAAGAAGGGGACACGTTCACGCATTTTGAGGTTTTTCATGCAGTGTGGTGAGGTGGTAGGGGAGAAGATGCTAATTTAGAAAATAAAACTCATAAAGTTTTCAAGGAATAAATAAATAAAATTTAAAAAAAAAAAAACAACCAAACCACCAAAACCAGAGTATGCACCGAAAGAAAGATATTCTACAGGGAAACATCAGGGAAAACAAAGCCAGAAAAAACTCTACCGATGACACCACCTGTGTTGACTCTGCACTTGGGCTGGGGTTGGATCCCCATGGGGCTGCTTTTGGACCACCAGTGTTTACCCAGGAATTGGAGCGGTCTAAACCCTGGGCATGTAATAGAAAGCAGTTGGGAAAGGAAAGAAATATTACATGTTGCATGCCACACAGTAGTCAAAGTTTAGTCCTTAAAAGCAATCAAACCGGGTACACTGCAAACACATCACCCGTTAGCACTGTTAAAGCAGCCTCAATTCGCAGGTGTCTGTTGAGACATTTTAGTCCAGAGGATTATGTTTTATATCTCATCCCACACATACATCACATTAATACCGTCGACAGCTCTGGTCCAACCTGTCCTATTGTAACTCCTGATATGCAAAACCTATCCTCCTCCTGAAAAATCTCACTTTGATCAGTTTAAACCCATTCACTTCAGCAGATGGAGCCAGTCCAGATTTAGTGTGGCAGGGGAAAACTGGTGCACAGATGTGAAACCCACAAAGGATGCTCTCTGAGGTTTCCAGCACTTTTAAGGTAGACTACGTATTAGCCCACAGTTTATAAGCTCTACAACTCCTACAGAAACACTGAAAAACTTTGAAGAGACTGACTGTCAGCTCTTACAGGGTTTCCTGCTCACGGAATAAAAATCCAGCACTGCTGGTAGAATAACCCTGCGAACAGGATTTCACACGGACGTTTGGGTATTTTCTCTGGGCAGTGCAGCAAAGAGAGGGAAGAGCACATACCTTTTCTGGAACCAACCTGCTCTGCCAAGCAAAACATTTGAAAAATCATCCTGCTTTTTAAAAGCTCAGCCTAGCTTGTACTCCAAATCCTAAACCGGCAATGGATCACAAGGGCAAAATTACTGCGGATCCCTCCTCTCTCTCCACTTCCTTCTCCTCTCAAGACACTCAAGGAAGAAGAAAAGGAAAAATTTAAACTTGTGTTTGTCACCCAGGCTGCTCCCAGGTCAGGAACATTCAGTGGGATGCAGTGGACTTTCTTGGGTCCCAGGAACCGGCTCTATCGGAGGCAGTTTTGCAATGCCACAACCGAATAGCAGTTCCTTATAAATTCCACACATCAGTTTCAACGCAAACCTGAGAGAGCTTTCATCCTAGTTTTTGTGCCAACTTAGGGCTTTTTCCCAATACATGAAGCAAAGGTGCAGCCCGTTTCATCACAGCGATTATCATCAGCTGCAAAGTCCACCAAGCCTAACAACCTATTTCTCTCAGCAAAGAAAAATCCACCCCAAGGTTGAACCCAGCATGAGAGCTGTAACCTGGGACTCGAACCATTAATCCGCCGAGCCGTATGCAGAGTACAGCAATGCTGTAATTTTGCCTAAGATGTCCAATAAAAAAAATACTGAACACACATAAGGAGAGCGTTTTAATCTCAATTACTTTTTGGAAGAAATAAATCAAAGCTCTCTGTCCTGCTCAGACCCATAAACATACTTTATTTTGCTCACAGTGAATTAAAGTCAAAAGGACTTTGCAGAATGCTGAACTAAGCGCATGTTTTGCGAAATCAGGTCTAATTTTGAAAATGTCTTTATCACACTCACATTGCTGCTCACAAGCTTTCTAATCATATCACACTGGTTCTGAGAATAAAAAATATACTGTATTTGCAGAGGCAGAAATAATTTTGTAAAAATCTGAAAAGGGAAAGATTCTTCCCTCTTTAGAAAATAGAAGAGTACAAGAGCTTCTTTTTGCTTGGCAGTCACTCAGAAGTTCACAAAACTGCTACTAAATTCTGTTCTGTCTCTGGGGTTCAACCTGCAGCTGGATCTGTGCAGGAACATAACGCGTTTGTGAAAATCCACTGTCGGAGCAATGAAACTCCACAGTCTTTTCTGTTTTTTCCCAGCACATCTCCAACATTTCCGGAACACTTAAAGCATAAAATTTCATCGTAGGTCTTTTTAGACACTTAATAAATTTGCTTTAGTAGGGAATAAAATTTACATGGCCTCAATTCACATATGAAGGCAAAATAAGTGACAGACCTAAGACCTCCTCTATTATGAAAATAAAGAGAAATCTTCCAAACCCTGTAAAGGCGATGACTGTTTGAATTTTCAGAATTAAGTGTAAGCTGATATAAGGGAGACCCAAAACATCCTTACTAAACCTATAAATATCTTACAATAAAAAACAATACAGGACTGGACTCCAAAGACTTCCATCAAAAAATAAAAACTTTTTTTTTTTTTTTTCCAAACGCAGAAAGCTTCCCACAATAGGTTCTAATTAGAAGTGCACATTCCCTACTTTGGTGCTTAAGTCATTACTTGGAGAAAACGCATAGGAATTTTTGCACCCCTTTACTCATTTCAGCATCTCAAGAAGTGTCTTATTTTTTCTATTGATATTAACAAGCAGAAATAATTATATTCAACCAGAATTCTGTATAGTCAGAGTGAACTTAATTTCTGATGCTCAGACTGCTCTAAAGGAAACTTTTCCCCTTAACAATTATTCACATAATAGATTTTTCATTAAAGCTTGGAGTACATCTCTAGAAGAAAATCTCTCTTCATTTTGTATTGGGACATTATTCACTGAGCCAGCACGTTTTAAATTTCTGATAGCCTGTGTAAATTCCATATGCACATTAGTGCCTATGGCATTTCACAAAAGGTCAGGGTTGTTTAATTAGCAAGATATTGAAGTGGTCTTTAAAATATTTTAAGACTTCTAAGTCTAAACTTTGATGTAAGATACAATGATTTGCCTTCCCACACTTCTTCAGCCTCTTATCCGGTCAGCAAATTATGTTGTTGTTCATTTAAATTGGTAACCTCTTTCTGAAACTACGCTTTTCTTGCTTTTATAAAACCCAGGACCAATCAGCGTCAAGCCTGTCTGGTCAGGCTGATGGCTTTATTAACAAACTTGTTCACCGATCTTCCAAAGGATCGAACATAACGGCTCTCCGAAAGGGCTCAGGACTTCATCTGTGCTGAAAGAGTGAAGGGTCACAGCTGGGAAAGCGTCTTATCTCAGTCTAAGTTACCACAGTTTGAAGATTAAAAAAAAGAGAACCCCAAACAAGCTAAGCCACTCCTCTCAGGGAAGGGAACTGCCAACACAGCAGATTTACCCTGGCTCATCCCACCTATTTTAGGCACAAACCTGAAGTGCTCAAATTGGGGCCGTAGCAGTCTTATGGACTTGGAAGTCACCGGAGAGGAACAGGCCCTTCTGCAGGAGATGCATACGCTGAGCCCTTAAGAGCCAAAGTAAGACCCTGCCGGATGTTCTGCACTAACGTGGCCACACTGGAAAGTCACTTTTAGGTGTGGGGAGTCGGTGTGGGTGCAGAGTTAGCACACCATAAATTCACACTGCAGTTCAGCTGGCCGGACTATGGCTCACTCACTAACCATCCAAAATCCTCTCTGTCCCATGCGGGGACTAGGAATGTTCCTGCTGTGTGCAAGATACCTGCTCTGGACAAAGTAGTAGAGAAAGCATCTGAGCAGCTGTTAGTGCTGAATGCAGAGGAGAAGAGAGAGTTTTGGTTTGGGAGGTAAAAGTGGGATCACAGGGTGGCAAGCTAGGGGGATGCAAGGTTGGGGGAGACGTAACAGGGCTGGGCAGAGGATACGGCTGCTGGCCATGTGAAAAGTGAGGTCGTAAAACCATTCTTGTCCTACTAGTCTTGGGGAGACAAGTCGAGAAGGACTCTTGCCCCTAACCACCCCACTTGTGGAAGTAAAACTGCCAGATGGTCTCCAACAAGTCAAAGAGATCAGTAGCTATTTTCAAGGAGTGAAGTTTCAGTAGTGTTATCAGCAACTGCCAGAAAAAGTCTGAGAAGGGGTCATTAGTAAGGACATCTTTTCATAGGGAAAAAAAATACCCCCAAAACTTCCCCGTTATTTCTTTAAAGATTAAATAAAAGATGCTGAAGTTCCTGTAAGACCCTCAGCAGTGCACACGTACCTTACTGCCAATGATTGAGCGAACTTCATCATCCGGCGAGGTGGGGGTCCCAGAAGCTGAACTGACTTAACTGGAACAAAATTAGAGGAAAGGTCGGACAGCAGATCGAGCCATGGTGGCATAATGCACTGATCCCCCTAAGCCACCGGGACCTACGGTGTTGTACAAAAGAACATCCTATTAGATCATGAGTCAGAGCCTTGAACTCATGCTGCTTTACACCAGCCTGATGCGGCAAACCCTTTGGATAACCAGCAGGTCTGGCCCGTAAGGAAATCTTCCCTATGCCTTCCCCTGCCTCGTTCTCCAAGGTAAGCAGCAGGGAGAAAGGGATGGGATTAAAAAGCTATTTTATCCACTGATCTGTGGGAAGCAGGAAGCTCCCTGTGGATTTAGACAGCCAGTGTGAGGTATGCACATCTTCAGCTAAAGGGATGTTTTCCAGACCACAGACTCCAAAACCACTGAAGGACTGGGCACAGTTTTAAGTACACAACCTTCCTAACACCTCTCAGAGGTTTTCCACTCCATGCGAGAAGCAAGTGCTGTGCACAGCAGTCCTTCCAAACCCTAGTTTTCTGTGGCTGTCATTCACACCATCTCTTCCCCCATATATCCCTTGTTCTCAGCAGGGGTGGAATTAATTTCTTTCCCTCCTGTACCCAGACGTGTTTTCAAGTATTTCACATTCCTCTGCCAGTGTTTCAATTTTTGCTGGAACTGGATAAAAGTACAAAAGTACTAGTGAAGGAGACTGGGAAACATGACAGGCCAAGGGCGTACCACATCTGTCTAACTTGCTACAGAAAACAACACTAAAAAACCAGTATTCTGCCATAGTTTAGCAATATGGTCTTTCAGCAGTGACACTGAAGATCATCAAATAGTTAAATTTCTGACACGGCTAACTGTAATTAAACTCATCTTGTAAATGGCTACACTGGATCATAAAGAAAGTTAATAACAGGGCTTGGCAGGGAACCAGCTATGCAGTCGGAGCTCAAGAGCACCTGCCAGCAAGCAATTTCTGCTCGCTTTTAACAAACGGTGACTTGAAATAAAATGAAAAAAGAGCTACCTGGTGACGGTGAGTTGGGATAGGTATTTGGTAGGCGAAAAACGTAATAAATATAGGAAGCAAGAAGGCTGTTTCTGCCGTGCTGGTCCTGGTTTCCATCCAAGTTCTTGTGAAGTCTGTTTATGATCGATGCCATCGCTTCGAAAGATGCTTGGCCCAGGTTAACTGAAAGCAGTAAGTGCGGAGTTTGTTTTAGACTGCAGCAGTACCCATGAGCAAATCCTAAATGTGCATTTCATCCACCTTCTAAAGGATAAATGGTGAAGCTTGTTAGTGTATAGCAAGCATTTCTGATGAAAAGCTGAACCTGGTATTCGAACTAGGTCTAAAAACCAGCTTGACGGGAAGACAGGTGTTGCAGTGATAAGTTTCCGCTTTTATTAATAACGAATTTAATGAATTTAGGTCTGACTTCTGGAAACAGACCAACTTTGGTCATCAACTGCAATGGTGACAAGATCAAGTCCTTGTTTAATTGATGGATAATATCCTTTGGATATTTATCATAATTTTCTCAGTTAATTATTTCCTTCATTTAAGCCATAACCAAAATATAAACTGTATCAAAAAGAATGATTCCATTCTCCCTTGGAAAAAAAATCTGTTCTAAAAATGAGCACAGAAATCTACACACAGATCTAGGAAGGTATTCTAAACGAATTAGGGATAACGCAGACTGCAGCTGGAGACTGTAAATCTTATGTTTTTAAAAGCTATACACTAATGTCCTCAATGCTCCATACAGACAAACTAAACCAATACAGAACACTTAAAGAGTGAGAGAGTTTTCAAATACAGAATAAAAATTCAAGCAAAATTCTTCCCCAAAAAGATAACCTTTCTAAAATAAATTATTGCTATTTTTAAAGCAGTCTTAGATACCTATATTCCATCATGCCCAAACTCAAGTTTCCTACGAAAAATCCCAACTGCTATTTTAAACACAAAGGATCTAATCCTGACTTCCATTTGAGATTTTTTGTACTGGCCATAAGACGGAGATAAACCAGGAGGGATTATTCACGCTGACAGTATCAGATCCACAATAGCTACAGGAATATACAGCACCTGTATCTTCTTATCTTACCAACTTCAAGATTTTCCAAGGTGACCAGTAAGGCTGAAATTCTCAGTTTCTGAATGTCAGTATGGAGACACCTTAACAGACTCCAGTGCTAAGAAAATGCTGAGCATCCAGCTCGTGAAAGTCAGGCCCCTTTCTGGTGTCTCAACTTGGGACACCAAATTACTAGTCATTCTTGAAAACCTTTGTATTAAATATTGCTCCTGTGTATATCACCACTGATCTGGATGCCAGCATGTTTTATTTTGAAGATACATGGTATATTAGTGGCACTAAAATAAAGCATAAAAATGGACTTTTTTATTTCTACATAAATATGATAAAATTGGAAGTGTCAAACTTTCAGCTATGTAATTCTCTATAAAACTTAAATAGAATACCTATTTGGCCTGCAATGACAGGAGGTCTTACTACCAGAAGAATCAGTTTGTCAAGCAGGAGATGAAGAAATCGCACTACCGGCTCCAGTTGAGAGGAATTTAAAGCTGAAATGCTGCTCTTCAGTTCATTTTCCAAGTTGTTTTCCATAATTCTCATGTCTCCTATTCGCACAGGGAACATGTGCTCATCCAGAGCATGGACAAGTGCAAAGAACTTGTCAAGATAAGGGTCCTATACACAAGCAGAAAGAACAATAATCAGCAAGAAGCTCCAAAAGTAATTCCATTTTCTACGGATTTGTACCTCATAGACAGATTCTCTCCCTCACTCTTCTATCTGACCATTTAATCTCACAAAATTAGCAGAAACTCAACATCTTTGAGAGCTCTGCCCATACGTCTAACTCAACTGAAATCAGCCAATGTTCAGAAAAAATGTTCAGTGTCAGGCAAAACTAGAGGACCCACAGACTCCGTATTCTTAGAAAACCAGACAAAAATGCACTAAAATCATGTTACTATTTACAGCACAAATAAATTACACAAAAATCGTCAAAATGACACACAGGGAATTAATAAAACAAAAGTTGAAATGGTTAGTCAAAATGATTGTCATCTTTCTTTTCAGATCAAAGAAAGACAGATGAAAAATACATGGAGAAACAAAAGAGGCAGAGGGGAAAATGAAAGACAAGAGAACATCATATGCTTGGACCGTGCGTTAGACCTGTTGTATTAGACACGACTGTCTGAGGTCTGAAAACACCGTTGGCCATTCACCTCCTGTGAATAAAGGCCAAACTGCTCATATTTTTAAGCGGAACTTCTCAAATATACTCACAGCAGAATGTGGAATAACAGGTCTGCTGGCTCAGAACTGAAAATGAGATCGTAATTTCACTACAAGTAATTATTATACTCTTCACAGTTATCAACTTTGACAGCATTTCAACTGTCAAAAGACTATCAAACTCTTTTTATTACAATGACTGCTCTTAACACTTACCTGAGTATGGAGGGATGATACAGCAACAACTTCTACGTTGAAAACCCCTTTGTGGTTATCCACCCACTTCATTCCAGGGAGTGGAACCTGCAGGTTAACAGAAAGATGAGCGAGGATGTGACAGGAAGCAGAGCTAAGGCGCTGCTAATTACAGTTGCCATTTATTTTCATTTTGTTGTCAGATCACACACACGTGCCCACACACACACACACACACGTGTCTAAGCAGTATTTAGGAAATAAATAACCTAAGAGTTAAACAAACCTAACGTGACCCCACACACAACCTAAGAGTTAAACAAACCTAACGTGCCCCCCCCACATACACATTTATATGTACACATACATTCTCTCACTTTTTAAGAGAAGTATTCTCCTGCTGATTTTCAGCATGAGGGATAACTCACCTCTGGAGAAAGCACTGAATAAGCCTGTGGCGGTTTTTCCAATGAAACAGGTAGGCAGAACTGACCAGTCTTTAACCTTCCATTTTGAAGCATCGGTATCCACTTTAAGGAGAAGGAATTAAGAAAGGGAAAAATGAAAACACACACTTCTTAAGGTTTTCTTGAACTTTGCAGGCTCGACTGTCAAATTCTCAAATTCTGCAATGGCGTATGAGTTGACCGTGATGCTAAATGAATTGCAAATAAATGCATTATGAATACATTTTGTGCTGAAAAACACAAAGACTGAAAGACACTCACGGTGTATCCAACTGGAGTCTCCAGGGGAGTGTTTTGTTTTTGTTGGCAACTGACGTGGTAGAAAGTAAAAAGCAGGTGGTGGTGATCGGTTAAAGTGGCTGGAAGCTTAATCTTGATTTCCTCGTGAAAATCAGGTGATCTGTGCAGAGACCAGACCCTCAACTGAGTCATCAATACACACAGTCTGGTTTACTACCTTATGCTCGAGACCAAACCCTTTGAGTTAAAGTATCTGGAGGGAAGGAAGTATATGGACTGTCCCAAGGGACTAAAGCTTCACTTTCTGATCACCAAGGACTGGGAAAACTTTGAGTATGCATTTACAGTCCACAAAAACCGAAAGCGGCAGCCCCCACCTCACAGAGGTGCTCTGGACTGCGCTGCTCCCCATCAGCAATGAGCTCTTCTTGTCTCAAGGTGGAGACTGCCACAACCCCCAACCTGCAGGACAGGATTCTCTCCCCAGTACATCTCACCCCAGTACAGCTAAAACACTGTCTACACATTAAGGCCAGATTCAGCACTCCTGACCTCAGCTGCAATGAAATTATTTTCAAGACCAAGTACTTCCAATAAAGAAAATAAAGTCTAAAAGGCTCCAGCAAAATAACAAAGCACATGCTAATATGAGTTTATAATGTAAATCTTGACTACTACCTTGAAGCTTGTACTTACAGCATCTGCTGAGCCGGGCTACGTGCTCAGCATCACAGCCCCTGACACAATGCTGGTTTGTACCAGAGCAAACAAAGCCTCCTGCTCCTACTCATCGCAAAACTATAACGACAGTATCAACTGACGCTGCAGTTGTTGTGAGCGCTATGCAGATAGTCATTGTTAAATAACTAACACCAAGACAGAGTCACTGGTGAGTTAGCCCACTTTCACAATGGTGAAAATTCCTTTGGGTGGAAAATATACTATCCATATGGGGCCGTGTCCTTTCACAAGCTGTCACATGTTTTACCTGTTGTGATATACTACAGCTGTGTATGCTTCTTTGGAAAATTCGGGACAGCTAGATTTGCCAAAGATGACCTGCAAAAAAGAAAAAAAAACACAGAACCCCCCCTATAAAACTGTGCTAAGACTTTGTTCCATAATCCCGCAGAGACATTTACAGATCCATTCACGAGTCTGTGCAGCTGTGTACAGGTCCATCTGCTTGTAACATGCCCCTTCACTCATATGCAACGTTCTACTCAGTCACTGAAGAGTTCACAAATTTAATAATTCCAGTTACACACATACACAGATCTGGCTGAAGAACTGATGAATGTAATCATCCCCATGCAGCCCTTCACCAAGTGCTCATCACTTCTGGCCCTGAACACAAGTGTAATTATCACCTTTAATTTTTTTGGCATGGAAGCAAAGATGCTATTCCAAACACAGGGATGTCCACTGCAAACATCTCAGGTTAAAATACTAGATAGTAGGTTGTTACTTTGCAAACTCTATACAAATGTAGTCTTTGTTCTGAAATATTGTAATTTTTTATTCCCCCAAACTTGTTATTTTGAAATGTATTTCAGCGAAGTTTTCTTTAACACAGGGATTTTACGACTGCAACATGCACTCTGCCTTACTGGCATACAGCATTCACACAGAGCACAAAGTACGTCCCTCACCGGCATAGCATTGCTTGGGTCCTCTCCATACATGAACTGGACTTTTACAGTGATATTCCTGGCAGATCCTTGGCGGTTGGCGAAGTTAAGGCTCTGAGGATAGACATAAAGAAGATTCCTGCAAGAAACAAAGGCATCAAGTGAGCATCTCTGTGTGAGAACGAGAGGGTTCACAGCTTTATTAATGCTATTATTTAAACCTCTACGGAAACACTCAGACAGTCAAAGTGAAGCGTTTGACATTTTCCATTAGCCAGATGGTCTTCTCTTCAACATAAGTGCACACCCACACAAGCAATTTGATAATGACCCCTTACTTCGGACATCAAAAATCATAATTTTTTTAACTGCCATCATATTTTGAATTAGTTCCTGTTCATAAGTGTATTTGAAAAATACATCTAAAAATTTAACAGTGATTCCACAATCCAAGAAGTTCAAGTGGGAAGAAAACATTTGAATAAAAAAGCACTGAGGAGTGTTTATTTGCTCAACAGAGTGGTGGTTTCTGTTAAACACCTTCCTTGTTGTGACCTGTCTTTTTTCTTTTGTCTATTTTTTTTAAATCTTCTTACATCATCATGACTTCAGGTTACACCTCTCCTCTGAAAACGGACTAAACTAAATGGGTATCTGTACCTCCAGCAGATACGCCATCCTCGCAATGACTCAGATGGAACGGCGTCTCTAATTCCACTCCCAACTCCCACATTTTGGTAAGGATGGGGATCAACAAACTCACATCTGAGAAGTGAGAATAGTCAGGAAAATAGCTCTGGAAAACAGTGGGGACGGCCAGACTGAACCAGGAGGGTGTAGTTTTGAGGGAATGGCTGGGACCACCGGTAATGACAACGCTCACAGGTATCTAAAGAACTGCTGCCACCAGCGAAGTAATAAAGTGATCATCACATCCACGGGGAATATGAGAGGACGTAATGGGCTGAAATTGCAGCACGGGAGATTGAGGTTAGATGCGAGGGAAAATGTTCTGACCGTAAGGCTAGTTAAGCAGTAGAACAAATTGCCCAGGGTGGGTGTGAAATCTCCATTTTCCATTAGGTTTTGAGGACAGCTGAGGCAAAAGGCTGTCCAGGTCGGTTTATAGACAACCTCAACCTTCACTGGGGACACATTTTGGAGGCCCCTCCAAGTGCGTTTCTCTAAGTCTATGATTACTTTAAACACAACAGACGAGATGCAAAATTGTGCAATGTTTTCCGTCCTCTTAGCCCTATTGATCCCCTGCCAACAAAGTGCAAGCTGCACTCACACAACGCAAGCAAAACTGTCCACTGCAAGTCCCTGCCTGCCCCACAAACAAGTAATTTCTACCACAAAAAGTCCCGTGCATGGTCCTATAAAGACAAAAAAGTCAACAGCCTCTGAACCATTCCACTCAACATACTCAATTATTCAAAGGAAATACACCTTCTTTCAGCCCGAAACAAGTAAAAGTGTATGAATTATTATATGTCTTTAAAAAATCCGCCTGGAAATGCCCTCTCCATCTGCCCCACAG